AGTTACCCTTAACCCCATAATTCAAAGATAGCCAATGCTAATATTTTGGCATATTTTCTTCTAATATGTTTCAAGTTTTTATAATAATCTAAACAAAATAGGTATCAATGTGTAAGTGTTTTGCAATATTTATAATTATATATATTTTTATATACCTTATTTTTTATAGTAGTTTTAGATTATGGAAAAACTTCTCAGAAAGTACTGAGAGTTCCCATATATTCCCTCTCCACTCCCTGCATGCACAGAATGTCTCCTACTATGAGTATATTGCATTAGTGTGGTACATTTGATAATGAACCAACAGTGATACATTATTATTAACCAAAGACCATAGTTTAGGGTTCCCTCTTTGTGTTGTACAGTTCTGTGGGTTTTGACAAATGAATAATATCATGTATCCACCATTACAGGGTCATGCAGAACAGGCATCTGTACTACATTTTTAAAAGAATAATATATCATGATCATCATCATATCATTAAATCTTGCAAAACATACTATTGAATGGCTGCCCATGTGCTTTATTTCCATTTGTATGTTAGAGTTTTATTTCTCTAATTATAAAAGCAATACAAGCTCATAATAATCTTTTAAAAATCTAGATAATCTAAAGAAGAATATAGCAACTATCCACAACTTACTTTGCAGGGGTTGCTAGTATTAATAGCATGGCATACATTGCAGGGCAGCATAATTGTCTGTATTTTTTGTCTTCCGAAATCTTTGTAACCCCAGCAGTTAGTTCAGCGCCTACTGTATAGTAGTTGCTCGTACATTTTCAGTGAATGAGTGGATACGTGAAGAAATGGATTAACAAATGCGTGAATAGAGAGGCTGCAAAGATCCAGCTTGTTATAGAGTAAAGTAACGTTTCAGGCTCAGCAACTTACTGTAGATTGAGAGACAAGGTAGCTAACTCAAGGCTCTTAATGAATAGGGGACTGCTTTTTCTGTTCATCTGAACCAGCCTCTAGGCAGAGAATTCAATTTAATTTTTTTCCCATCAGTCAAACTAAAGAGCTGAGAAAGCAAAACCAGAGACGGGGGAGAGAGGAGGCAGGAGGTGGAATAGGGCTTGGATGAGGAGATCAGCAGCTCATCTCTCTTTCTTTCAGTGTTAGGAAGAGCATGAGATGAAAGGAGCAGGGTTTCTTCCCAAGGTGGGCCCAGCAGTAGCTGAGGTAGATGGCATTCTGCCACTCCCAGGATCCTCTATGATGGAAACACTGATAATTCTCTCAGAGGACTGAGATCTCAGTACTGTCAATGTGACCCTGATGGGTTTTCCCTGGCCTGTCTCTAGAATTTGCAGCAGAGGAAGAAACAATCACGGCAGGATTTTCTTTGAAGGAATTTGAGGCTCCCTTTGGTATCATTGGAATCAGGGCTGACAGAGTGTCTGATAGCTCTGGCTTATGGAAGATTCCAACCAGAGTCTCTTCTATATTTAATTGGGAAAGATGTATCTTATCTTACATCCCAACATCCGTCTCTCAGACACCTGCCATGGGAAGGAGAGTGATCCATTTCCTAAAACCCTGCATAGAAAACTCATGCTTGCAGTAAAATATATGGATATATTCTTCCCAATGGGATGATTTGGTCCTCACAAACCCTCTCCTTCCTTCCACTTCCCAATATAAGTATACACTCAGATAGATATAGAAATGTCTGCAGATAAATGGAGAGATGGATGGTTGGATAGACAGAAAAAGAGAGATAGACAGACAACCTCCACCTGCCTTTTTGCCAACAGCAGTCATCATATATCTCCTTTTTTCTTAAAAGCTTCCCTATGAGCCAAGCTCAAGACCTTGACCATATTGACACCTTTGCCCTTATTGGCCACTCCATCCGGTAAAAGCTTCACCCACCTTCCCTCCTATCCACACCACATCTACTCTAAAGGCCTAGCTCAAGACATATTTCTCCAGGAAGACTGATTGTGTCATTTTGTACCCTTGTTACTCTTCCCTGACTATTAAATTCTAGAGCTCTTAGCCTTTACCTCATTTTTTCCTTATGACAAGGTATACGCGTGTGTATATTTGTCAGGCAGGGAGGGATTACCCTTTTTGCTTCCCAGAGAATGTGATGTGGTTCTGTGTGCTATATAGTTTAATGATGTAGAGCTAGTATTGTTTTATTCACTAAGTTGGTGGATAAAGGAAGGGACGAGGGGGCGATGGGGAACAGTACTGCCTACTTTTCCCGTGTATAAAGTTGGACACACGTAGTATTTAGTACTTACTCATGGAGTAAGAAGCCAGTTTGGATAAATACTGTGAGAGTTGGTATGGTATAGTAGAAACTTGTGATCAGACAGATCCAAATTGACATCCTGGTTCTCCACACAGTTGCTGGGCAGGCAAGTCACTTTGCAGCACCAGTCCTCAATATCTTCATCTATTAAATGGGAATACTAATGTAACTCCTTGACTATCTTACAGGTTACTTCAAGGATCAAGAGAAATTATATAACAATATACGTAAATATATGTTAGATAGATGGGTGGAATGGATGGATGGACAGATAGATAGGTAGTAAACTGTCAATTACTAAATAAGAAGATACCTTTATATGGTTTATGCATTGAAGTGGACCAAAGCTTTTCCAAGCCCCTCAAGGCTTTTTTTTTGAGATGATCAGAAGTTCACACAAAAAAATTATTTCTGCTTGAGTTGTAAGATTACAGACTTTATGAGTTGTAAGATTACAGACTTTAGGGATGGCAAAGGTACCTGTGTGTATGTTGGAGAACACATCCCTATAGGTGAGAAGTGCCTAGAGATGTGATCACAGAAAACTGCTTCACCTAGAACCATTTCTATAAGCTTGAGGGCCAGCTACTTCAAGTTTCCTCAACTTCCCTACCTGTAGAGATTTAAAGAAAAACATAAAACACGGTGGAATTCCCATTATAACCTATGCATCATGATTCAGTGGAAGGAGATGTGAGCCAGGCATCAGAAAACTTAAATCCTAGGTCCTTTGACTAAAACATAACTTCTCCAAGATTGAGTTTCATCAGCTGTGAAATAGGAGGTTTGCCTGGTCACTTGTTATGTGCTGGGCATTGTATAACTACTGATGCACAAAGATGAATAAGGCAAAATCCCTGCCCCCCTTATGGTTCACAGTCTAATGGGGGGAGAGAGAGATGGCATCCAATAATTGCTTAGTGTGAACGGTCTTCTGGAGGCAGACAGTAAATATAGTGGTGGGTCCATGGAGGGAGTGATTAACTCTGCCTGGATGGATCAGCAGATGCTTGAGAGCAAGGGTGGAAGTTGGTAATAACTGCCCTTCTTCCCTTTCTGGGTTATCCTGAGGCTCACATGTTGTGAAAAAGGCAACAGGGTGGAGTTATTATTATTCCATTAAAAGTCAGATTCAAATATTGCAGTTCCAGGCATATTTGTTCAATTGCAGATAAGCCCAATATTCCTAGTTAGTCTCTTAGAGGGATGCTGGCCTATCCCTAATGTGTTTAATGTGTTCCAAAAGGGCCAGGCTCTACTTCCATATAATAAGTGGATGTGGAATCTGACTCCATGAGCTATGCAGACGATTCTTTCTTTTTTTTTTGCAAGTCCTAGGGCTTGTTTAGATTTTTTTCCTTAGATCATGACTTACTATCCATCCTTCCTGCTTTTATCCATTATTTATTTATGAAACATATTTAGTGGACACGTTATACGTATTCAAGGAATATAAACACAATAACACAGACAAATCTGAAAGACTTGTCTGTGGCATAACCATAAATTGCCTCATGATAAGTGCTCAATGGGAATAAAATATGAGTGTAGTGAGTTGAGAAGGAAGATCAGTAGGCTGAGGTGGTCAGAAAAGGCTTTGTGAGGAAGCACTCTTGTTCGGCCCTCATGGATGGGTAGATTGTGCTGAAGTGTAAGAGCAGGGATATTTCTGGCTTTATCTTTGCCTGCTAGCAAAAACCCGAAAACCAAATCCACTACCGTCGAGTCAGTTCTGACTCAAAGTGACCCCATGGGGTTTCCAAGGCTATAAACCTGTACAGAAGCAGACTGCCACATCTTTCTCCCACGGAGCCACTAGTGGTTTTGAACCGCCAACCTTTCAGTTAGCAGTTAATCGCATACACTACGCCACCAGTGCCTCCTGGTAAACACAAAAACAAAACAGAACAGAACAGCAAAATAGTTGGCATTGAATGAATTCCAACTTGTGGGGGCCACGTGTGTGTCAGAGTACAACTGTGCTAGGGTTTTCAGTGGCTGATTTTTCAGAGGTAGATTGCCAGGCCTTTCTTCTGAGATACCTCTGAGTGTACTTGAAATGCCAAACTTTCAGTCTGCAGCTGAACACATTTATCATCTGCACCACCCAAAGACAAGGGGGTATAAATAACATGGTATCTTGGTGGCATTGGAGAGTCAACTCCATTTAGATTATGTATCAGAACAGTAAGGGATAAAACTGAAAAGAACACAATATTTCACATGTAATGTTGGCTCAAATATCAGCTGCTTAGTATATATATAAAGATGGAACATTATCTATATGTTCCAGCTTTCCTAAGAGCACAAAATTTGTGTTTTCCTTGTCTTCATATATATGAGAGTGCCTTACATGTAGGAGTTGTTCAATAAATACTTTTGAGTAAATGTTATTGAATTGATTTAAAGGTAGCTATAGAATTGGAAGAAATCAGGAGAAATAATTTTACTAAAGGCTTTAACCCCGAAGGAGAGAAGGATGGTCATCGGAAGTGGGTTTATACTCAGCTCAAAAACACCGGTTGGTTGGATATATATTGAGCACCTGTTTGGTGCTAAATGGCACTTGATAAGCACCGCACAGTCATAGTCATGCATTTTTATTTTTTATCTGGAGAGAATGGGTGCCTACTTGTGTGTGTTAGGCACTCTCGTATGTTGGGATGGTCTGCTTCCGGGGGAGGACACGTGCATTCCTTGATGTTTATAGTTCTTCTTGCTTTGTTGTTTTGCAGCTCTACAGCTCCATGGATTTTGGAAGACGGTGGCAACTCATGCATGAACGTATCACACCCAACAGATTTTACTGGTAAGCCCCATCCTCAGACTCACCACCCTCTGGGATAAAGAATTCTCAGAGAGCACAGCTCTTTGGGAAATACTGGACATCACCACTTGAAGACAAATGTGTCCTAGTCCCTTGTTACTAACAGTGTGGTCCCTGGATCATCTGCATTGCCTGGGAACTTGTTAGAAATGCAGAATCTCAGGTCCCATCCCAGACTTAATGCATTTAACATGATCCACAGATGATTCATGAGTACCTTAAAGTTTGAAAAGCTCTGGGCAAGAGAGCTCCATGAGAAGCGTCTTGATTAGGTGCTCTCAACTACGCACTAATCTTTCCTATTACGTGTATATGTAAGATACATACATGTAGGTATGTATATTATGTATCCTGTTACAGTCGAGTCGATTCTGATTCATAGCGACCCTATAGGACAGAGTAGAACTTCCCCATAGGGTTTCCAAGGATGGCTGGTGGATTTGAACTGCCGATCTTTTGGTTAGCAGCTGTAGTTTGCCATAGCTGTTAACCACTGTGCCACCAGGGCTCCATATTATGTATACCAAAAAAAAAAAAACAAACAAACCCCAAACCCGTTGCTATGGAGTCGATTCTGACCCATAGACCGGAGTAGAACTGTCCCATAGGGTTTCCAAGGAGCAGCTGCTGGATTTGAACTGCCACCCTTTTGGTTAGCACCATCAGGGCTCCGTATTATGTGTAGCTACCTTTAAATACATACCTACATGTATGTATATTACGTACCTGTTCTAAAAAGCTTAATTTTCCAAAATATACTCTGAAGAACACTAGTTCCACAAAATGCTTCTCCTTTCATAAAACTTTCCAGTGGTCAAATAAATTTAGTAATGATTGTACAACTTTAGCCCTCTTGGAGATTGACAATTTGCATCAGCCTATTAGAGTCTGAAGAATCCCTGTAGTGAAGTCTGCTGGACTTTAAGTCACTGACTCGTAAACTTATTTCACTACAGAATCCTTTTCTCATGTCACACCTGATAAATCCTTAAGAACTTCTGCTGAGCATATTTTGGAAAACCTTTTACAAAGAGGGAATACATGTTTCAAATGGAAAATAATCCCTTCCCCCAACCAGCAAATGTTTTCATTCCCTGGTGTTCCTTTATACATGCATAGTATTTTTACCTTGTTTCTAACAAGTTTACAATAATGTTGCCTTTTACACATCCCTACTATAACTTGAAAATGCTTCTTATGTCATTTCAGTAGAGGTGATGGACGAAGGAATAGAGATTGGGAGGAGTACCCCAAAGGAACTAGAATATGCTTAATTAAAAAATGAACACAGAAACAACAGTGTTTAAAAGTAGTACCTATTCTATGTCTCTTTTTAAATACTTTGGTTCAGTTCCCTTAAAAAGGCATAGGATAGCCATTTGCGTCTTATACAAGATAGGGGTGTATGTGTTGGGGACACTATTAGTGCTTTGTACATATACACATTCACACCAACATCTTTGGATATAACAGCTTCACCTGCTCCCCTCTACATCCACAAAACTCTGCCCGGAATTTAGAAATGATGATTGCCTAAGCTTACTGTGAAGAAAAAAAAAAAAAAAACCCTGTGTTTTATTGTACACAGTTCAGAGTAGCTGAGAGAGAGAAGGGAGTTGGAAGTACTGCTCTCTCTTCATTATCTGGAATATCCCCAGTATTTTTTGCTCCTTTCAGCTCAGCTGTTGGACTTAAGATTTTTGATAGACTAAGGCAGGAAAAGGAAATATGGTTTCTATGATATTCCAGCTATGTAACTACAGCCTTTTGCTCAGATGAGTGTACCTATTTCTCAGTGTGCCATCACTCAGAAGTCTCGGGAGAAAAAAAAAAGCCCTCTGCTATTTCTAGAACAAACTCTTGAGATGGTCAGGCAGTCAGCCAGCTAGGAAGTCAAGTTGATGGAGAAGGGAAGTATAGTAGGCTGGATAAGCCTTGTCGTCATTTCTGAAGGAAATTAAATTAGGTGGATGAGGGGCAGCATTTTCCCATCTTTTGCAAAGAGCTAGAAGAGAATGTTCCAGCTGCTGTTGCCCATGCCCCTTCCTTTGTGTAGCAGACAGAATAAATCGCCAGGCCCTAATAATTGTGTTTCGTCTTTCCTCCCATCTTTGCTTCTTTCATATATGCCCCTGTGGGGAAACATAAAAGTTAGTGCCCGGGCTGGCTAGCCAAGTGGTAGCTGAAAATTCCATTTTTGTAATTATCATTTCTCTGTTTCCGATGTATAATTGCTGTGATTATTCTTTAAGGTGTCATAGGAGTCATAGAGAAAGAGCTCATGTTACACAGACCTTTTTCCCGATGACAGAATCCAAAGCTGTCTATAGCTGTAAACCACCTGTGGTTGTACACAGCCTGTATAGGTTAAGAGTGGAAATATTAACTTGAGAAAAGACAGCGTACTCTTTTCTCTGGTAATAGAGCTGCCTTAGTTACCTAGTGCTGCTATAATAGAAATACCACAAGTGGATGGCCTTAACAAAGAGAAGTTTATTCTCTCACAGTCCAGTAGGCTAGAAGTCCGAATTCAGGACGCGGGCTCCAGGGGAAGGCTTTCTCTGTCTGTCAGCTCTGGAGGAAGATCCTTGTTATCAATCTTCCGTTGGTCTGGGAGCATCTCAGCACAGGAACCTCAGGTCCAAAGGACACACTCTGCTCCTGGCACTGCTTTCTTGGTGGTATGAGGTCCCCATGTCTCTCTTCTGGCTTCTCTCTCTTTTACATCTCAAAAGAGATTGGAATAAGACACCATCTAATCTTGTAGATCTCTTCAATATAAATGTCACTAATCCATCTCATTACGTCAGTGATAGGATTCACAACACATAGGGAAATCACATCAGATGACAAAATGGTACACAATCATACAATACTGGGAATCATGACCTAGCCAAGTTGACAGATATTTTTGGAGGACACAGTTCAATCTATGACAAGAGCACAGCTTTGGCTGAGACACTGTGGTTTCCTCATGTATATAATGGGAACAGGATTTTCCTTGTCAACTGTATGCCTAGGGTTATTGAGAGGCCCATATGTGGTCCAGTGGACACTTGGCAATTGTAATTTCACTTCCCCATTTCAGATTTATAATTTGTGATTTTATATTCAAGTCTTTTTTTTCTATTTTATTGTGCTTTATGTGAAAGTTTACAGCACAAATTAATTTCTCATTCAAAAACTTATACACAGATTGTTTTGTGACATTGTTTGCAATCCCCACAATGAGTCAGCTCTCTCCCTCTGTACACCCTGGGTTCCCCATGTCCATTCATCGTTTTCCTGTCCCTTCTTGCCTTCTTGTCTTTGCTTTTGGGCAGGTGGGCTGGTGTTTGCCCATTTGGTCTCATATACGTGACTGAACCTAGAAGTATGTTCCTCACATGTTACTGTTTGTTTTATAAAACCAGAAACCAAACCCGTTGCCGTCAACTCTGACTCATAGTGACCCTATAGGACAGAGTAGAACTGCCCCGTAGAGTTTCTAGGGAGAAGCTAGTGGATTCAAACTGCTGACCTTTTGGGTAGCAGCCGAACTCTTAACCACTGTGCCACCAGGGCTTCATTTGTTTTATAGGCCTATCTAATCTTTGGCGTAAAGGTGGACTTCGGGCAAGTCTTTAATTAACATGTCTGTTGGCAGCTCTGAAAACCATGGCACGTAAGTGATTTGTCATTTTGCTGGGGCACAAATATGAATCTTGTATATGGTGAGGCTGGTATGCCCGTGAGCATCTGACCACAAATGAATGAGTCTAATTTACTGTCAGGCATCCACCTCGCTACCTGACTTTATTGTTCTCTACTCTCTGTTGAGTCATAACTCTTATGAAGTGGTAAAAAGAAAAAAACAACAACAAAAACAATGCCAAAACTACTTCTTTGGGAGAGATGGTGCAAAGTGAAGTGGTATTGAGGACCGTGGGGGAATATTGGAGAAAACAGTCATGTTAAAGACAAGAGACTGAACTGAAAGATGATGTTACAAAGACATTTTACATGAGGTAGGTAGACAACTAGAGTGAACGTGTGATTCAGAAGAAAGCTTGCCCAAATATTGTTAGTTTTAATTTGGAGATTTGCGAATGCCCTTCCCATATCCTTCATGAATATCAGCTTTCATGTCCCAGGCCACCTTCAGTTGATGGAAAGTGACAACCTAGAGAGGGATTCATAGGGAAGAACACTGTGATCCAGAAGTGATTTCTGCCAAGGGTGCGGGAAGACGAATGACCTGCATGCACGCCTCACGTTTGCTCTGTCTTCTGCGGCGATGATGGTTGTGATGGCTGTGGAAGTGTGTTGGAAATTGTGAAGGACTATCATTATTATCCATTTCCTCACTAGTGCCCCACCACAGCCTGGGAGTTAGGCAGGCAGACATGAGGATAATCTTATCTATCATCAATAATAAAAGTTTAATCTCAAAATAAAACTATCCTTAAGAATTCCAGATGTTCAAACTCCATCAAGAGAAGTCATTTAAGAATCTTACACTGGGGGGTGACTCAGTCATCAAATTCATGCCCAAAGACCAAAACGCTCTTTTATTATATGTGGCCCTTTCTCCATCTGATACCTGTTTATCAGGAACATCACCAGACCCGTCTAATGCCCTCCATTCATCACCCTGACTGATTTAGAAATTATAATTTGCAGGGTGAGCACAAAGTGGAATAAGTGTCCTAACAGATTCCTTTCATTCTCCCTAGTCTCCACGTGGACAGAACTTGCATGGGGGAAAAATTTTTTTTTCCTTTTAAATACTATCCTTCTGAGCTGCAAATGAATGGTATTTCTTCCCTTCCCTTGGGAGATATTTAACAGTCAGGAACATTGTTTTCTCTCTACATCGAGTGTGAATACTTGTGGTTCACAGCTTTGCCTCTGTGGCCTATCACTCTCCGTAGGTGTTGACCGTCTTTCCACATCTTTTTAAATGAGGCCACAGCCGTTCTAGGCCTCCCTGAGTTCTCGGT